CTAGGTTCTGTCTTCTGTTGTCTTGTTACATTTGTATTTATACCAGTTGATTTTAATCCTGTCAATTTCTATTCCAAAGGTTAGGGCATTGTTTCTTATCTCCATTCCAGGGAGTAAAGATTATGTAGCTTAAGTGTGATTGTTCTTAGTTAAAGTGATTAACTACCCGCCTGGCACTTAGTTAAGGGGTTTTATTCCCTCCCTAACTTCAGGGAAAAATTCCTACCTGGGGAAACAACCTTTCTCAGAGAGGTGACCTTGGTTAAAACACATAGCACCAAGAAGGGGAGCAAACATATTAAGAACAGTATGCCATATACGCCAGGTCCCTTGAAACATATGCTGTGCAGATGTTTCTTCTCTGCAGCGACTGTGTCAAGCAGCAAGAATGGACCGGCTCCCGGCAAACACTGAAGCGCTTAAAGGCCTTCGTTGCACACCATTCTGTCTTTGGGCCTCAGTGCTGGTATAGTGGCAGCTATAAGCATAATAGTAGCAAGAGTTCAGTAATGTTTGTGGACTGAATGCATGTAAACTGGGAGTGGCAGGAAAGTTTGACTTCACTGGGTAGGGAGTGTTTGAACAGATCCTGAAGGAGGGATTAGATTTGATTAAGAAGAGAAAACAAGGTAACAGAAGAGAAGACAGAGAAATAGAAGAAAGAAAAACCATTACACAGAAGCAGCGGTACAACTGTGGATTATTTGCCTGATGCATTATCATAGTCTACTCTTCTTAAAAACCTGTGCACTAGTCAGGATCCTTTTGGCTGCAGATTACAGAAGGCCAACTGGAAGGGTAGAGGTGCAAATGAGTCTTAGAGCTGTCCTAGATCCAGACTATAATGCCATAGGAATCCCTTTCTCCATATTTCTCCAGGCTACATGGCCTCCAGTAGCCCTCAGGAAAGGAGGGCTTTTCTCTCTCTCTCTCTCTCTCTAATGTTGAATAGAAAAATTCTAGGAAAGGATTCTGATTGGTCTGTTTGAGTCACAGGTCGGTTCCTGTGATGATTATTGAACACTAGAGGCCCGGTGCCGGCCGTGGGGGGGGGGGGGTGTTCCTTAGCCCAGCCTGTGCCCTCTTGCAGTCTGGGAGCCCTAGGGGGATGTCCGACTGCTGGCTTAGGCCCGCTCCAAGCTGTCAGTTGGACATCCTTAGTGCTGCTGCACTTGCTAGCCATGAGCCCAGCTTCTGGCTGAGTGACACTCCCTCTGTGGGAGCACACTGACCACCAGGGGTCAGCTCCTGCGTTGAGCATCTGCCCCCTGGTGGTCAGTGCGCATCATAGCGACCAGTCATTCCACAGTTTGGTCGATTTGCATATTAGCCCTTTATTATATAGGATTATATAGGATTGGCAGAGGATAGGGTACTTAAATTGGAGGTACCCACAAGAACCTCTGACTTGAGTTGGAGGAGTGTTACATTTCCCAAAAGAAGCAGAATGCTGTCACTAATGAAAGAGAGTACTGCATGGACAAAAATAATATCAACTCTACCAGTGGATTGATGCCCAGCAAGGAAAGGCATTTTATCATTAGGATGCACTACATAGAACGTATAGTACATTGGGTTCCCTGGGAAGAGAATTGCATGCTGCTTGGTTACTGGGGAGTGCTCTAGGATAAGCACCTGTGAAAGAACAAGGGACACAGGATCGAGCAGAGGTTGAACTGTGATGCTCTTGCAACCTAGGTGAAGCTTCAATTGATTCCACAAAGAGTTTTAAAGTTGGCTCTTCAGTGCCATCCTAAATTGTGGTAAGAGTAGGTTGACTGACCCTTCCTGTTTGTCCAGTAGAGAACAGGCACTTCACAAAAGAAGATACTCAAATAGCCAATACACATATGAAAAGGTTCTCAATAATAAAAAAAAAGCAAAAAAAAAAAAAAAGCATCTACTCAAAAAAAGAAAAAAGAAAAAGAAAAGGTTCTCAACTTCAATAGTCATCAGGAAAATGCAATATGTAAACCATAATGCAATACCACTGTATACCTAGCCAAATGGCTAAAATGAGAAAAACTAATGCCAATTGTTAGTAAGGATATGGAGAAAATGGAACTTCCATACATTTTTAACAGGATTATAAATTGGCACAAACTAAAACAATTTGGCATTGCCTACTGAAGCTTTGAATACATATACACTTTGACACAACAATTGCACTCCAAGGTACATACCCAACATAGATGTACATATGGTCACAATAAATGTCCAAGAATGGTCATAGCAGTTGGGCAGATTGTGTTTTTCCACACACAATCTCTCTTTTCTGCAACAATCTCTCTTTTCTTTCAGTTGTTAAAATGTTGGTAAACTTTAAAAAATATATATTTTTATTGATTTCAGAGAGGAAGGGTGGGAGATAGAAACATCAATGATGAGAGAGAATCATTGATAATTGCCTCCTGCATGCCCCCTACTGGGGATCGAGCCCACAACCTGGACATATGCCCTTGCCCGGAATTGAACCTGGGACCCTTCAGTCTGCAGGCTGATGCTCTATCCACTGAGCCAAACCGGTTAAGGCCGTGGTTGGCAAACTGCTTCTCACGAGCCACATGCGGCTCTTTGGCCCCTTGAGTGTGGATCTTCTTAAGTCTTAGGAGTACCCTAATTAAGTTAATAACAATGTACCTACCTATATAGTTTAAGTTTAAAAAATTTGGCTCTCAAAAGAAATTTCAATCATTGTACTGTTGATATTTGGCTCTGTTCACTAATGAGTTTGCCGACCACTGCATAATGTAACGTTGGGACACTTCACTAGGAGAGGGAGGATGTGTGTGTCCCCACTTTGAACCCAGGCAAGCTTGTGACTCACTTGTACCAAATAAAATGCTGTGGAAGTGATGCTGTGTGACTTACAAAGTCAAGCCAATGGAGGGTAGCAGAATATACCACCCCTAAGTAAGCCACTTTGATATTAAGATTCTTTTGAGCTAAAGGCATTTGAGAAAAAGGAAGATATAATAAAAGCTCTCCATCTTCTCTCTACTTGGCTAAATGCAGGACATAAATTTGTAAAAGTGTCCTGTCTCCTTTCTACCAAGAAGAAGGGCAGTAAATCACTAGAGCAACTCCAGACCTTATCAGCCCGGAGATGGCACCATAACAAACCTTGGTAAAACTGGCCCTTATCTCCCATTAGTTCTCCCATCTATTTACCTTCCCACAATTTGCCTTCCTAACACTTGAAGTTCTTTTTATTCGTCTTGTCACTTCTCTAAAAATTTATAGTTCTTTTGTTAAGATGTTATATAAGCCCAAGTTCTAATAATCCCTTGAGTTACTCATCATAGAGTGTCCCCATGTGTATGTGCTAATAAACTTCTGTTTGCTTTTCTCTTTTTAAATTTTATTGTATTAAAGTATAGTTAGAATACAATATCATGTTAGTTCTAGGTGTACAACATAGTGATTCTATATTTATATACCCTACAATGTAATTATCATGATAAGTCTAGTAATCATCTGTCACCATAAAAATTACTATATTATTGACTATATTCCCTGTGCTGTATATTACATTCCCATGATTTCTTTATTTTATAACAACTGGAATTTTGTATCTCTTATTCCCCTTCACTTTTTTTCACCTATCTACCCATCCCCCTCCCCTCTGGTTATCATCAGTTTGTTCTCTGTATCTATGAGTCTGTCTCTATTTTGTTCTTTTTTTTAAGATTCCACATGTAAGTGAAATCATACAGTATTTGTCTTTCTCTGTCTGACCTATTTCACTTAGCATAATACCCACTAGGTCCATCAATGTTGTCACAAATGGCAAGATTTCAGTCTTTTTTTTTTTTATCAATGAATAATATTCCATTCAGTCTAATATATATATCTATATTCCATATATCTCATATCTTCTTTATCTTTTCATCTATCAATAGATACCTAGGTTGATTCCATATCTTGGCTATTGTAAATAATGCTGCATGTTTTTCTCTTGTTAATCTGTGTGTGCCTTTTTGGTCAGCCTAATTTGCAGACCCCAACCAATGAATCTAAAGTGGGTAGAGGAAAAATATATTTTTTTTCTCCCCTACATCAGAAAAAGCCATGTAGCTTCTACCTCATTTTGGGGGACAGTCATGCTTGAAGCTTTGAGCCACCATGTAAGAAGGCAACTGTCCTGCGGCCGCCATGCTGGGAAGAAGCCAAACTCCGAGATGGTCCACATATAGGTGACCCAATTGGCAGTATTTAGTGTTAGAGTGCTCTCAGCTCAGGTGTCAGATATGTGCTGGCATCACCATCAATTAACTCCCCCACCCTTCACCCATCATTGAGTCTTTTCAGCCAGGGCCACGGCCCCAGGTCTCAGACCTCATTAGAGTAGAGATAAGCCATCTCCACAGTACCTTTTCCAAATTCCTGACTCATAAAATCTGTGAGCATGAGGAAATGGCTGTTCTTTTAGACCACTCTCTGTAATGGCCCAAACCTGAAAACAACAAAATGATCACTAATAGTACAATAGATAAATAGCAGCCTATTCATCCAAAGGATTATTCAATGGCAATGAGAACTACTGATACACACAGCAACATGATGAACTTCACAAATATAATGCTGAGCAAAAGAGGCACACCATATGATTTTATTTAAATAAATTCTCAAAGGACAAAACTTATCTCTAGTGCTAGAAATCAGGCTTGTGGTTTGCTTTGGTGGGAGGTAGTGACTGGGAGGGCACCTGAGGATGTTAGCAATGTTCTGTTTCTTCATGTCAGGCTGGTTCCATGGGCGTGTTCAATCTGTAAAAATTTATTGAGCTGTACATTTTTGATGTGTGCACTTTTCTGCTTTTAGGTTGTACTTCAATAAAAATTTTAAAAAGATGCTGGCCATGACCCACAGGTTGATTTCAAAATCCACAAAGGGACTGTGACTCACAATTCTATGTGAATGGTGCCCTGTAGAGTGGTACAGGGCATAGCTCATGGTGATACTGCCCCAGGCAGCCAGGTGGGTAGTTCAGGTCAGCTGCTCATGAATGAGCATCCCTCACACAAAGCATACTGCCTCCCAGAGCCACTGCCCTGCATACAAAGTTATGGGAAGACTAGACTTGCCCTTCAAATCAGTCTTGAATTGGAGTGTGATCCTAAAGAAGTAGGAATACCTTGACTTTATTAAGAACATAGACTTGGTTGGATATCTGATAGACTTGGGCTCTGAATGGTGTGCAGGTTCATTTCACCTGAATGAAATGTATCTTTAGCACCTACTCTATACCAGCACTTTATGTGTACAATCTCACGTATCATCCAAACAAACCTATGCAGTAACTTAATTCCTAGAACTGTCTCCAATTTGGAGATGTGGAAATTAAGGACAGGAGAGGTTAAATAACTTGCTGGAGTTCCCACAGTTAGGTTCATTTAGATAGTGTTTTTAAGTGTCTAAGGATAGAACCTGACATATTACTATATTGATTGAGTTGCCTGAATGCATGGGAAAACTTCAAATCGAAGGACTGAGAAGTATGGAACTAGTCAGCCAAAAGTGGAAGAGCTTACTGATGATGCTAAGGATTTCTGACCAAGAGCAGTCAGGTTAGGAATACATACATCTGGTTTGAGTTTCATCTCTCTTTTTCACTCATCTTTGACTC